GTATTAGCCAATAATGTGTCAACTGTGGTCCTTTTTTTTGCTGTAATCAGGAACAGAACGCCGACATGAAGTGAGTAGGAAGCGAGATTTGGAAGAAGATAAACTCACAAGTAAGGCTGCAAATTCACTGAAGAAATGTGGACAGATGTGGTCTAAGCAAAACAGACAGACTGACACTGGCTGCATGGTAGCATAACAGTCAGACCGCACGTCAATGGCTGCATGCCTGATCTGAATGTAAAGTGATGCATCTCACCAGCACAGGCTATGAGCACTAAACAGCATTAAAAACTTAGGGCTGTTTATTGATTACAACATTTTATTACATTTGCATTCTGATAATTTCAGTTGTTAATGCATTCAGTTCCCTTTCAGTCGGTCACTCCGATTCGTATCGGTGACCGACGAATTGGGATCTCGCTTAGAGAGACCAATCCACTTCGAGTGTAAACTAAACGAGCCAATGCACATTGGCATGGGATGATTGCATCCAGCTGCCGCTGATCACAGCGCGAGCATAAAAAGGCAGCTGGTGCAACGCATACCAGCTTTTCGCTTCGGAGCCGAGCGACAACACCGTTCTGCTCCTGCCAAACTGCTTCGTGTGTGACGAGTCTAGCGTGCTCTCGGGAGCTTTTTGTGTTGGTGGACGGCGCTTCAGCGGTGGTCGTTCCTCTGTCGAGTGGGTTGAGCACTTCAGGCTGCACTACCCCCTGTCATGCTCCAAACGGCTGTTTCCCCTGTGCATCTCAGCACGTAAAAGAGCATTTCCCTAAAAGAGCCAATTTCTCTAAAAGAGTACAATAAGGTGCGTCTTTGTAAAGACGACGGATCGTCTTTTTAAAGATGCCGTTTCACCCGTGTGTTTCTGGATGCAGTCGTTACTTGGCGCCAGGTGATGGTCACGATCGCTGCCTCACGTGTCTGGGCATTAAACATGCTGAGGTGGCGTTCGCGGATGAGTCATGTTCCCATTGCAGGAAAGATGACCATCTCGGAGCTGTGGGCCAGACTCCGTTTCCTCTGCCGCAATCTAGTGTTCGTCCTGACAGCAGCCAGGCATGGACTACTTCGGGCAGTAGCACGTGCAGTCTGAGGGTTACAGTGGTGGCAAACCCCTCAGGGAACCAACCCTCGGGGGACCATTGCTCCTCTAGCGCTTCACAACCAGTTGAGCTGCCAAAGGAACGCGCTGGGCCCTCTTCAAAGAGCGTGCCAGCGGTATCCTTCGGTGCTTGACCGGATGTCGATCACTGCATCGGATGGAGAGCTCTCTGGAGAGGAAGATTCGGCTGCGCTGCCGCCCTCCGGGACGGTGGCAAGGCCTGAATCGGATCCAGAGATGTTGGCTATGTTTTCCTGGGTCGCCGAGAGGGTAGGGCTCGAGTGGAAACCTCCACTGCGTCCCGGGCCCTCGAGGTTGGATGATTGGTTTCTCGGGGTGGCTTGCGCTGGTTCTCAGCACCCCGCCTCAGTGCCTTTCTTCCCGGAGGTGCATGCGGAGCTCACCAGGTCATGGATGGCACCTTTTACTGCCGGAAACCAACCTGCTGGTTCCTCCTCCTCAACGGTGGTGCAGCTAGGGGGTATATACAAGGGTCCCCCAGGTGGGGTGGTCGGTTGCGATGCAATTGTGTCCTAATACCACCTCCACCAGGCAGGGTGAACCGTGCCTCCCCTCCCGGGTCTGTAGGTACTCGCCTGGCCTGTCCGGCGATGCTTGTACAGACTGTGGAGAAGCTGCCTCTTTGACAGAGTGTAATGATGTTTGATGTCTGCTGTAATGTGTATGCATACTTGCTGTAGCATTCATCTGCTATGACTGTTGTTTAGCTTCTGATTTAAAAGGCATACATATATAAAAGATTTAAAAAGCACACTGTACATATGTTTTTTTGACTGTTCATGCTGACAATATTAATGTTAGAATCTGAGTAAATCGATTGAGGCACTGATCAATTTTCTTTTAAAATGCAAATTCAATAAATGGTTCATTAATTTTCTTAAATCTTTGGAAATTAGTACTGTATATGAAGGACACAAATGGCATCCTTCTAGATTCTAGAATGTTACTTGTAAAGTTTGTAAAGAGTACAAAGGAGGCAGTAAGGTACAAGACTGTCAGCTCAAACTCTTTATTTTTCTCCTTCACACCAAACTAAAATTCCAAGCGTTGCTTCAGCACAGTTTACAGGTGTGCAAATAAAATATAACTCTACAGGGGAGTGTTAGAGGTGCCCAGGAGAGTTCTGAGCTCTTTTATCAGACAGTGATTTGCGTCAGGTTAAAGTGTTTCACAGGCCAATTGCTCAGGAGCGTCTAGTAAGCACTAACGTGTCTGGCCTGGGGTATAGTGTTTGGCGTACAAGCGTGCGTGTTTGTGTTTGAGGCAGAGAGACAGAACGTGCTGTGCGTTCTGTTGCCTTTGCTTTGCGTCGTGCGCCTCCCGAGGGTGTGCGGAACTCACGCGGTTACGGCAGCACTAGGAGAAGGGAGGAATGAATAAGTGATTTGGGCTTTGGGGAGGCCCGGCTCTGAGATGGTGGGGCTGAGAAATTGAGGCACAGAAGCGAGGCAGATGCTAGCGCCTCAGCCATCACCACGCTCTCAGGTGGGCCCTTGTGAAACTACACACTGTGAAAAGCAGATAAGTCTTCTTTTCTTCTCACGAACCCCTCCCTTCACACTCCCAAACGCTGTTGTTGTTGTTTCATATTCATTCTCATTTTCCCCACATGACTCTGTGTTGTCTACCTGTTTTTAAAGCTGTGTATGGCTTCCCGTCTCTCCGTTTCTCTTTATCTCTATATGAATCCATTCTCCCCAATGGTTTTACCTCTTTAGTCACATTGGACTCTGTGGTTCGGTTCTTTGCCTCCAAGGTAGGGTTTTTGGTCCAGTCATGCAAAAACAAGCTGGGAAAATGGGATGAGTTGTGCAAAAACAAAACTTAAAGAAGACAGTTCACCCAAAACTTAAAAATCCTGTGTTCATGTATCCACCCTCATGTCCTTGCCAAACTGTATGACTTTTATTTTGTTTTCAATAACAACATTCTTCAAAATAACATTTTTGTTCCACAGAAGAAAGTAAATCATACAGGTTTGGAGCTAAATGAGGATGTCTGAGGATGAAGATTACAGCATATTTATTTGGGTGAACTATCCCTTTAAGTTCAAGCACACTGTCTGTATTTACATAAAACCTAAAAGTAAAATAGAGTTAAGTCTAGTTAAAAGTTATTCAGTCATGTTCTTTTGCTGTTTTTAACTAAATGAAAGATTAATGGTATTTAATCAATTAATTTAATAATTCATAAGAACCAATATAACAATATGGAAATAAACGGCAAAATTACTGTTCAAAAGTTTGGGGTCAGTGAGATTCATAATTTTATTTTTTATTTTTTATCCTTTCTCATAATTAGCTTTGAAAAGTCGTGCTTTTGTAAAAAAATAAATATTGGTCATGAAAGTATTTATTTTTTATTTATTTATTCAGGATTCTTTGAGGAATATTCACAAGAACTGCATTTAATTTTTATATTAATTTAAATTAAAATCTTTTGTAACATTATACATGTCTTTAATGTCACATTCAGTAAATTTACTGTGGCCTTGCTGAATTCTTTCTGGGGTTTTTTTGTTTTTTTTTAAACGTAAAAATATGTAAAATGCTACTCTTTGAACGTGTGATGCAAACAAATCTTCAAACTTTTTATTTGAATTAATCTATTCAAAGCTCTGATTTAAAGCTTTGACTCAAGTAATTCAAATGAGCAGTTTGAACTGATTTAGTCATTTTTCTGTCACTAGCATCACCAAATTTCATTGAAATATTTTTGCCTTATTTTCATGCACACTCATGCTTGCAGGACAGGGAGTGGTTGTGAAAACCTGTCTAATGACAGTTTTTACCTAATGGTGAAATAAAAAGTGCATTTACATCAAACATTGCTTATCGTCACAGATATGTCATGAATATTTGATATATAATCTGGTTTTAGCATCACACCCTGCATCAGACAAGCAAGAAGCAGTGCAATTGAATCACATTGTGTAGTGCCTTCATAAACTGCCTGTGTATTTCTGAGGACTAGTAATCTGTTCTTCCTCTCTTATCTCTTCTCCTCAGCGCCATTAGAGCAGACAGGCTCTCATGCCGCAGATCAACCACAATCACAGACAAGCACTCATCTCTACTCAGGTCTTACAATAATTGCTGACCACAGGCAGCATAGGTAGCCATTACCCATGAGGCCATCTTAATGACCCTGGCAGTCCATGTCTGCCATTTTTGCAACATCATCCATACTATTTTTTCATCATAATCTATCTGTCATGTTTGGTCTGTATGTCTGGTTGTTTCTGCAGTTGCAGGCATTTTTATGTATTATGTATTCCATTTCAAGATGTGTTATTTATATACATTTTCACAGAAATTAAAGCATTTTCTGCTGTCCAATTTTTTATTTATTTTTTTCAAATTACAATTTTATGAAATTCAAAAAGTATGAAAATATTATTCAGTTGTCTCTATTTAGGTTAAATTCAGTGCTATAAAAATTAGCCTTAATGCAAAGATGTGTATTTTATTTTAAAATGTTGCAAATTTAATTTCCACCCCAAATGAGTGATTATAGTTGAGGTAGAAATGGCATTTGTTCGTGGTGGTTCTGGTGATACTGATAGTATGCAAATTATATAAACTAGTAATTTTGAAAAGTGTGATTTTTTTAACATTCAAAAGAGCCCATAATTGAAGAAACACCCCACTGTGTCATATCAGCGAGTAAATGGTGAAGGAAAGAGAGAGAGAGAGAACAGTGTGGAATGTAAAACACCTCTGGATTAGTGCTGTCAATTGTTTTTTAAAAAAAGAACTAATTAATCACACATTTTTCTGAAATTGCGATTAATCCCACCTAACATTAAAGTTTTTAAATATACTTTATATTGCAATAATTTAGCATCCAATCTTCGAATTAATGTAGAAACAACATAAAGACAGTACATTTTTTATATTTATTTGTAATATTTTATGACTGAAGGTATCACTGATACCAATACTACTGATGTCTCTATGAAATAGTTTTTTCCCTAATATTTAACCATTGACTATAGCTATTCAACATTACAGTGTAATCGAGAGCTATCAATTTTAACATTTATTAGACTTAAAAAAAATCTAATTTAAGTGAACTTAAAACAATCTTCAAATAAACCTATTATAATAAATGTCGTATTTAGCTACCTGTTCCCTTCAGCAAGTAGGAAATATACAGAAAGTGACTAAAGTTATCAAACATTAAATTCTAAATTAAAAATAGATGAATCCTAAAAGCCACAAAAGTTGATTTCTTCTTTTTTCACAGCACAGCAGCTGGGTTATTAGGTTATTTTAGGTGCCACTACTGAACATGACGCGGATCTGACATGCATTGTATTTTCTCGCAACTCTTTACCTTTTCTGACCCACTTCAGCTCGTTAAGTCTCTACTAAAGAGCTAATGAGTTGAATCGGGTGTGTTAGATGAGGAAGACAGTGCGGAGCTGCTTCAGGACAGTTTTAAAAACCACTGCATTTCAGAGACATGTTCTTAAGTGCAACTAAATACTTACAAGCATGCGCAATTTTAAGTAAGCTATAATTGCCTTTTTGGTAACTTCATGACTTAACTGACGACATAACGATGACATTGCATGCTTGTTTCATTTGCGCTTTAAAGGGGTCATATGATGCTGCTAAAAATAACATTATTTTGTGTATTTGGTGTAATGAAATGTGTTTATGCGGTTTAAAGTAAAAAAAAAACACATTATTTTCCACATACTGTACATTATTGTTTCTCCTCTATGCCCCGCCTTTCTGAAATGTGTCGATTTTTACAAAGCTCATCGGTCCTGATTGGCCAGTGCGTTGTGATTGGCCAAATACCTCAAGCGCGAGACGGAAATGTTACGCCCCTCACATACTGTTGATGTGTTGATGC